TCATAAAAAAAGTTGGGGGGGGGGGGGGGGGAATTTTCGAGGCGCAGGAATTTTTTTTCGTTTTCAAATTCCTTGTATGAATTTTTTTAGGCCATAGCATGAATATTTCTTAGGGTTAATTGGCGTGCATGAATTTTTTTGTTTAATTTTCCCTTGCGCGAATATTTTTTTGTACTTCGCCCGCCCACATAAGATTTATAATGGTCTGTCCCTAACTTCATCTTGAATTCAAATATTTTTTGTTTACAAATTAAAGCCAAACTTGAAGCGACGTAATAAGCTCATGCTGACATCCGTGATGAGAATTTGACGTGTTGACGTTTCAATGACAAGTTTATTGCTGAAGGGCGGATCGCCGCATCAAAGGCATGTCTCCAGGCTCCACCACCCTTTTCCCTCCCCAGACTATCGCAGCTTGCTTCGCTCACCGATTTTTTTTTTCGCCCACGCCGAATTTTTTCTAGCCTGCGAAAACATCCGTTTCTCCTCGCTCCTTGCCTCTGGGGACGTTTTGCGAGGAGGAACGTCTACGACCAGAAGCCCATAACCCGTAGCGAACAACTCCCAATTTACTCGGCCTATGTCACGGCGTTTTACGGACCGGTTTATTTTTAGACACATTTTAGGGCAATTTTTCCCGCGAAAATAGAATCTTTGCCTCATCTATAAACGCATTCGAAGTATAAGATATCAAAAAGGAAAACGCAACGTTATTAAAAGGCAAAAATTATCATTTTTAGGTCTGTAGGTTTTGCTGACTGGTTTGTGAGACTTAAATATTTTTCTTCATTCGCGCCAAAACCGTTCTAAAAATAAACTTGTCTTTTTAAAAGATGTAAACTGTCCAGGTAGACAACGGCGGGATCTGCTTACTGCAGTGCATCATTGCAAGAACTTCTGATCATGCTCACCTAACGATGGGGCCGACATACTTCTTTTCAAGAGGCCTTTACGAGAACGTGACGGAACTGCACATGTACCCTCTGCGCCACTAATAAATGTGGCGGATTTTGTCAGACGCTTATTCAGTTTTGTGTAATTGGACAGGAATTGTTCCTTCTTCAAATCCTCTGGAGGACCAGACAAATTAAAAGAATTACGTTTAGCCTCCAAACTTTTCGTTGAGTTTTTGGACGACGATAAACAAATTATTGAGAAATGTCCTTCAAGCCTTTGTGGGTGGACTGTCGCAACAACTGTTAAAATGGACGAGGGGTTGTTCTGCGGCTCGAAACTGTCAAAAGAGTTGCTGCGTAATCTGATTAGTGTTGGCGCTGATACAGATCTTTTCTTCATTGCACCATATAAAACTGTCCCGTTCGCTAATTCGCATGACGCTGATCTTGAAAAAAGGCGACGGCTGTACGCATTTGGTTGTTTTTGAGTACCTTCCGCTGAAGAAAGATCCTTTGATCTGACATATTGCATGGAAGCAACTTTTGCCTTGGCTGCAGGAGGTTTTCTGATGCACAAAATCTCGAGAATGATGCTTCTAAAACGACTGTTTCTGTAGAAGTAAATTAGTGGATTCACTATAGAGTTCATTTGCAGTAGTGTCTCCGCTGATCGGAAGACGGAACTCTTGCGAAAACCTGGGTACAAATCTCCCAACAAGCCAACAGTTGCTATGGGAACAACGGAAGGAATTACAGCTGCTGAAGCTAATGCGCATGTCATAGCAACTCTGTTTTCGAGTTTTGATTTCACCAGAACAGTGACTTGGGTAATCAGTCTACTTCTGCGCGTTTCACGATACACCATGAGGTAAAAATAAGCGATTAGACAGATCAGAATTAACAAGAAAAATGCAGAGATTGCCTCAATGATAAAATCGTAGTTTATGCCCTGGGCTGTTACTACAATGCCTGGAATTGGTGTTAACGCGGCTAAGAACCAAGCTGTTATGGCGAGTTTCTTCAGGCGGCTTCTTGTCATTTTCACTTTGTGTTCATAACAATTCCGTATTGCCTGGTTCCTCTCCCAAGCGATAAGGATCAAATGGTATAGGGTACATGTTGTTAAAGCGTGCATAAAGTAGACATTAAGCAAGTCTACTAAGCAAATACGATCATCAAAAACTTGCCGGGAAATAACAAAGTCAACAGTGGCGGATAAAGGCATGTTTATAGCACCTATCAAAACATCCGCAACAGCCATGCTCGACAACAGAATGTTTGGATTTTTTTGCAGTTCCTTCCTTGATCTTACTGCTGTGATGACTAAAATGTTAAAAATGACTGCAGCGGGAGATGCGATAGATACGATTGCGACCATTATCCAGGGGAAAACTTTGTCAGTTAGGTCCCATAAAAAAGTGGGATAGTATGGACAAGAAAAAACAAACCTGTTGTCCGATGAAAAGTTCATAGTTGCTTATGTATCACTGTGTTGACAGTCGGTCTATCAAGTTTGATTTTAGTTAGTTCTCGATTGCCGATGTAGTTAGTTTTATGTGCGTGAACGCTTTCGGCTTAGTTTTGCGACAGCGGCAAATCTTTTTGTATTGCATTGTATTGTATTTTGTATTGCGAATAATTTCCTCCTGCAGGACAAAACAAAAGAGAAGAGGAGTAACAGTTGTACTAGGGAAATGAGTGAGTCTTTTGTTGGATTGTGTTTCGTGCATAAGGACGGGAAATGTCATTAGTTTCATTCCGCCCCTTTGTAAAATATTTTGAAAGAAATCTTTGTCACTTCAATTTTAAATAGCTTAAATGAGACAGTCTTTCAAAAAGGAAAATTTTAGACAGCATCTTGCTCAACGCTACTGAAAAAGTAATTTAAAACAAATTTAATTACAGGTAGCCCAAGCTCACAAGTAAGAATGGGTAGAGTGCCGTTTTTCGAGAGATTTGTGATCTCAGATTCGGGTCAGGAAAGCTTGAGAAAGCATTCCACATTTCGCGGGGTGGAATGGAATCCATTAAATCTTGATATTCATGATTCCTGTGGGTTCATTTTTCCCAATGCTTCTTGATTCCTTTAAAAATGTCTACAAGAATTGTGATTCCTATTTCGGTAAATTTTGTCATCGATCCAAGTCTGTAATTTTAATACGTGACTTTCCGAAAGAACATGGACTTTTCATAAGACAAACATATGACTCACGTACGCTTTCAATAAGGACCTTTTGAACTAGCCTGAATTTCATCCGATTACTTCGAGTTGAGAGGAGAAAACGACTCGAAGCAATCGGATGAATTTCAGGCTACTTTTGAACACCCATTCATCAATTTCACAATAGGTTATTTAAAAAGTGTTCTAAATGCCTTAATATTTGTCTGTTAATCGGTACTGTAAATATGGAAGATAGTCGGTTCCTCAAAACTCCCAAAATCGATGCAAAACTGCGACGCTGTATGGCAACTGCGACGAAAATTGGCTTGGTGGTGATTACTTAAAGGTAATAAAAAAGAAAGTTATTTTCTTACTGAATTTGCAACAATAAAATAGTGAAAATGCACTCGAAGAATCAACGAAACACTCTCAATTAATGCATGTTTCACTTTGACCTGTTAGCATGCCCCCCCAGGGCATACCTCGGGGATTTGCAATTTTCGTCTTTCCTAGTGGTCTATTCTCCACCTCCGGGCATGCAGAAGGAGGCAATTCCTCAGCCCCGAGCTCCTGATTGACCTCATATAGGTTTTTTCCCGGTACATATTTTTGGGAGCAATAGTGATTTCGTACAATGGCAAAACTAGACGTTTTCAGAACTTTCATAAACGTTTTTCTAGAGTTTATTGAGAGAAGGATAATACATGGTAGTTAAAACATGAACAATACGTTTGAAAACGAAAAGGAAGAAAAAAAAAAACTGTTGAGCGCCTCCTTGATTGAACACTTCTTATTAAAAAAAAATTACTTGTTTATCCATTAAGCACCTAGGAGTTCATATGAACTCGTTTAAACGTGTCCGTGCGTTCCAGATCGAATTGGAATTTGGAAGTGTTGGTTTTTGAGGAGAGGGGAAAACCGGAGTACCCGGAGAAAAACCTCTCGGAGCAAGGGAGAGAACCAACAACAAACTCAATCCACATATGGCGTCGACGCCGGGAGTTGAACCTAGGCCACACTGGAGGGAGGCGAGCGCTCTCACCACTGCGCCATCCCTTGCTCCTCCTCATATTAACACTGGACTGAATCTTTTTTTATTTGTATATATTAAAAGCGGTGTATCTGTTTTCATATACAGTCTATTTAATTGTTGCCTTATTATTAAACAAGGCTAAAGAAATATTTCTTTGTTTCTTTTGCAAACAAAATCCATTCGAGTACGCACCATAAGCACATCCGTCTACAATTTGAAAACATATAAATATAAAAAAAAAACAATACACGTTGTTTTAAATCAGCTTTGCAGTAGTCTTTGGACTTCTCGTTCTTGGTTCTTTATATTTTGGCTGATTTGATCTCTTTTCTAGAGATCCAACGTTTACAACTAGCAGGATCTTCGTCCACGGTTTTTGTAGTTAATTTAATCCCTCAAATGTAGACGTTAATTTTCATGGGTTACTGCTCTCCAACCACCCTCCGACCAATTCCTGCGTTTTCCTTTGAAGAAACGCAGTCTTGAGTTGCGCAGCTTAGTGCAAACCGCGCGAAAAAATAACACGTACTTCGCAAAATCGAAGGGAAATTAATTTTGATTTGCCCCAGCCCCCTACCCTCAGGACAGGACCGCGTCAAACAATTCCCCATCCCATGGCCCGAAAGGCTAAACTTGTCCGGGGGGATGGTAACAGTTCAAATTGAACCGTGCATAAAACAAAAACAAAGCTGTTACTAAGTGACGTCTTTTATTTCCAAAAGTTACTCTTTCTTTTTTTATTTAATTCGGTAAATACTAAAACAACTATCCCCCTCAGGATCCATGCAAAGCGCCTTCAAAGACAAGAAGCTCAGTATTTTGGCGATAATGAAAAGACTATTAGATTCTCTAAAGTGAAACCCCGCTTGGCCCCGAACGAGCGAAAAAAGCGAGTGAGCAGTAAAATAACTAACGAACAAAAGAAGGCATGAAAAGATAAGGGGAGAACCTATAAGCATCTTTTAAAATACCTCAATCCGCTCACTACCCCGCCCACTCACTGAGAAACCATTTCTCCTGTCAAAATATCAAATATCAAAACGTCAAAAGGGGCTTGGTATAGGAGGGTTTCGATTCACATGTTCGACATGTTTGTTAGACTCTGCACGAGCGAAACCAGTTGATTGACATAAGTGTTGAAGAAAACTGTGACAATTGTTGACTTATCATAGAGTAAACCAGGGGCTGGTTCATCGGAATGGGATATTGGGAACAATCCCTACAGGCTCTGCTACTCCGTCTCCCTCAGCCCCCTCGCGGTTTTCGCGCAACTTTTCTCGATCTGATTTCCTGGCTATCTTCGAGCTTGGAACAGGCTACAACTTGTTTTAAAATTGCAATTGCAAGGCTAGCTCTCGTAAACCCAGAACCATACGAATGTCAAATATTAGCGCGTTCACCGGGGACGATGATAACTCTTAATGTTTTTTAATGACATGAAAATTCTGCGGAACACTTTTCACGACTTTTTAAGGTGGAAACTGTCCGGCTCGACAACGGTGGGATCTGGCTACGGCAGTGTATTATTGCAAGAACTTCTGATCAGACTCACCAAACGATGGGGCCGACATACTTCTTTTCAAGAGGCCTTCACGAGAACGTGACGGAACTGCACATGAACCCTCTGCGGCACTATTAAATGTGGCAGATTTTGTCATACGCTTATTCAGTTTCGTGTTATTGGACGAGAATTGCTCCTTCTTCAAATCCTCTGGAGGATCAGACACATTAAAAGAATTGCGTTTAGCATCCCAACATTTCTTTGAGTTTTTGGGCGAGGATAAACGAAATATTGAGAAATGTCCTTTAAGCCTTTGTGGGTGGACTGTGGCGACAACTTTTAAAATGGACGAGGGGTTGTTCCGCGGCTCGGGGCTCTTAAAAGAGTTGCTGTGTGATATGATCAGTGAAGGAGCTGATACAGATCTTTTCTTCGTTGCACCACTTAATACTGTCTCGTTGGCTAATTCGCATGACGCTGATCTTGACATAAGGCGACGGCTGTACGCATTTGGTTGTTTTTGAGTACCTCCCATTGAAGAAAGATCCTTTGATGTGACATATTGCATGGGAAGGACTGTTGGCTTATTCTCATAAGGTTTTCTAATGCATAAAATCTCGAGAACGATGTTTCTAAAGCGACGGTTCCTGTAGCAGTAAATTAGTGGATTCACTATAGAGTTCATTTGCACTAGTGTCTCTGCTGACCGGAAGACGGAACTCTTGCGAAAACCTGGGTACAAATCTCCCAACAAGCCAACAGTTACCGTGGGAACAAAGGAAAGAATCACAGCTGCTGAAGTCAATGCGCATGTCATAGCCACTCTGTTTTCAAGTTTTGTTTTCACCAGAACGGTGACTTTGGTAATCCGTTTACGTTTGCGCGTTTCACGATACACCATGATGTAAAAATAAGCGATTAGAATCAACATGAAAAATCCAACGATATCACAAATTATATCGTAGTAAATGCCCGGGGATTTTAGTGCAATGCTTGGAATTGGTGTTAAAGCGGCTAAGAACCAAGCTGTTATGGCGAGTTTCTTCAGGCGGCTTCTCGTCATTTTCACTTTGTGTTCATAACAATTCCGTATTGCCTGGTTCCTCTCCCAAGCGATAAGGATCAAATGGTATAGGTTACACGCCGCTAAAGCGTACATCAAGTAGACATTAAGCAAGTCTACTAAGCAAATACGATCATCAAAAACTTGCCGGGAAATAACAAAGTCAACAGTGGCGGATAAAGGCATATTTATCGCACCTACCAAAATATCCGCAACAGCCATGCTCGACAACAAAATGTTTGGATGTTTTTGCAGTTCCTTTCTTGATCTCACTGCTGCAATAACCAAAATGTTTAAAATGACTGCAGCGGGCGATGCGATAAATACGATTGCGACCAATATCCAGGGGAAAACTTTGTCAGTTAGGTCCCACAAAAAAGTGGGATAGTATGGACAAGAAAAAACAAACCTGTTGTCCGATGAAAAGTTCATAGTTGCTTATGTATCACTGTGTTGACAGTCGGTCTATCAATTTTGATTTTAGTTAGTTCTAGATTGCCGATGTAGTTGGTTTTATGTGAGTGAACGCTTTCGGGGTAGTTTCGCGACACCGGCAAATTTTTTTGTATTGCATTGAATTATGTTTGCGAATAATTTCCTCCTGCAGGACAAAACAAAAGAGAAGAGGAGTAACAGTTGTACTAGGGAAATGAGTGAGTCTTTTGTTGGATTGTGTTTCGTGCATAAGGACGGGAAATGTCATTAGTTTCATTCCGCCCCTTTGTAAAATATTTTGAGAGAAATTTTTGTCACTTAAATTTTGAATAGCTTAAATGAGACAGTCTTTCAAAAAGGAAAATTTTGGACAGCATCTTGCGCAACGCTACTGAAAAAGTAATTTAAAACAAATTTACTTACAGGTAGCCCAAGCTCACAAGTAAGAATGGGTAGAGTGCCGTTTTTCGAGAGATTTGTGATCTCAGATTCGGGTCAGGAAAGCTTGAGAAAGCATTCCACATTTCGCGGGGTGGAGTGGAATCCATTGAATCTTGATGTTCATGATTCCTGTGGGTTCTTTTTTCACAATGCTTCTTGATTCCTTTAAAAATGTCTACAAGAATTGTGATTCCTATTTCGATAAATTTTGTCATCGATCCAAGTCTGTAATTTTAATACGTGACTTTCCGAAAGAACATAGACTTTTCATAAGACAAACATAAGACTCACGCACGCTTTCAATAAGAACCTTTTGAACATCCATTCATCAATTTCACCATAGGTTATTTAAAAAGTGTTCTAAATGCCATACTATTTGTCTGTTAGTCGGTACTGCAAATATGGAAGATAATCGGTTCCTCAAAACTCCCACAATCGATGCAAAATGACGCTGTATGGTAACTGCGCCGGAAATTGGCTTGGTGGTGATCACTTTAAGGTAATAAAAAAGAAAAGTATTTTCTTACTGAATTTGGAACAATAAAATAGTGAAAATGCACTCGACAAATCAGCCAAACACTGTCAATTAATGGATGTTACACTTTGACCTGTTAGCATGCCTCACCGGGCATACCTCGGGGATTTGCAATTTTTTTCTTCCCTAGTGGTCTATTCTCCACCTCCGGGCATGCAGAAGGACGCAATACCCCAGCCCCGAGCTCCTGATTGACCTCATATAGGTTTTTTCCCGGTACATATTTTTGGGAACAACAGTGATTTCGAACAACAGCAAAACGAGAAGTTTTCAGAACTTTCATAAACGTTTTTCTAGAGTTTATTGAGAGAAGGATAATACATGGTAGTTAAAACATGAACAATACGTTTGAAAACGAAAAGAAAGAAAAAAAAAAAACTGTCAAGCGCCTCCTTGATTGAACACTTCATAGTAGAGAAAAAATTGCTTGTTTACCCATTAAGCACCTAGGAGTTCATATGAACTCGTTTAAACGTGTCCGTGCGTTCCAGATCGATTTGGAATTTGGAAGTGTTGGTTTTTGAGGAGAGGGGAAAACCGGAGTACCCGGAGAAAAACCTCTCGGAGCAAGGGAGAGAACCAACAACAAACTCAACCCACATATGGCGTCGACGCCGGCAGTTGAACCACATTGGAGGGAGGCGAGCGCTCTCACCACTGCGCCATCCCTTGCTCCTCCTCATATTAACACTGGACTGAATCTTTGTTTATTTGTATATATTAAAAGCGGTGTATCTGTTTTCATATACAGTCTATTTATTTGTTGGCTTATTATTAAACAAGGCTGAAGAAATATTTCTTTGTTTCTTTTGCAAACAAAATCCATTCGAGTACGCACCATATTCGTCTACAATTTTAAAACATACCTTCAAATATAGACGTTAATTTTAATGGGTCACTGCTCTCCAACCACGCTCCGACCAATTCCTGCGTTTTCCCTTGAAGAAACGCAGTTATGAGTTGCGCAGCTTCGTGCAAACCGCGCGAAAAAATAGCACGTACTTCGCAAAATCAGAGGGAAATTAATTTTGATTTGCCCCAGCCCTTTACCCACAGGACAGGACCGCGTGAAACAATTCCCCACGCCACGGCCCGAAAGGCTAAACTTGTCCGGGGGGATGGTAACAGTTCAAATTGAACCGTGCATAAAACAAAAACAAAGCTGTTACTAAGTGACGTCTTTTATTTCCAAAAGTTACTCTTTCTTTTTTTATTTAATTCGGTAAATACTAAAACAACTATCCCCCTCAGGATCCATGCAAAGCGCCTTCAAAGACAAGAAGCTCAGTATTTTGGCGATAATGAAAAGACTATTAGATTCTCTATATTGAAACCCCGCTTGGCCCCGAACGAGCGAAAAAAGCGAGTGAGCAGTAAAATAACTAACGAACAAAAGAAGGCATGAAAAGATAAGGGGAGAACCTGTAAGCATCTTTTAAAATACCTCAATCCGCTCACTACCCCGCCCACTCACTGAGAAACCATTTCTCCTGTCAAAATATCAAATATCAAAACGTCAAAAGGGGCGTGGTATAGGAGGGTTTCGATTCACATGTTCGACATGTTTGTTAGACTCTGCACGAGCGAAACCAAATGATTGACATAAGTGTTGAAGTAAACTGTGACAATTGTTCACCAATCATAGGGTATACCAGGGGCTGGTTCATCGGAATGAGGTATGGAAAACAATTCTTACAGGCTCCGCTACTCCGTCTCCCCACGCGGTTTTCGCGCAACTTTTCTCGATCTGATTTCCTCGCTATCTTGGAGCTTTGAACTGGCTACAACTTGTTTTAAAATTGCGATTGCAAGCCTAGCACTCGTAAATCTAGAAGCATACGAATGTCAAATCAAGCACGTTCACCGAGGATGATGATAACTTTTAATGCTTTCTAATGACATGAAAATTCTGCCGAACACTTTTTACGACTTTTAAGGTGGAAACTGTCCAGGCAAGTCGACAACGGCGGGATCTGGCTACGGCAGTGTATCATTGCAAGAACTTCTGATCAGGCCCACCTAACGATGGGGCCGACATACTTCTTTTCAAGAGGCCTTTACGAGAACGTGAGGGAACTGCACATGAACCGGCTGCACCACTAAAAAATGGGGCGGATTTTGTCAGACGCTTATTCAGTTTCATGTAATTGGACGGGAATTGATCCTTCTTCAAATCCTCTGGAGGATCAGACACATTAAAAGAATTACGTTTAACATCCCAACTTTTCTTTGAGTTTTTGGGCGATGATAAACGAAATATTGAGAAATATCCTTCAAACCTTTGTGGGTGGACTGTCGCAACAACTGTTAAAATGGACGAGGGGTTGTTCTGCGGCTCGGGACTCTCAAAAGAGTTGCTGTGTGATCTGATTAGTGAAGGAGCTGATAAAGATCTTTTCTTCATTGCACCACTTAATACTGTCACGTTGGCTAATTCGCATGACGCTGATCTTGACAAAAGGCGACAGCTGTACGCATTTGGTTGTTTTTGAGTACCTCCCATTGAAGAAAGATCCTTTGATCTGACATATTGCATGGGAAGGACTGTTGGCTTAGTCTCATGAGGTTTTCTAATGCACAAAATCTCGAGAACGATGTTTCTAAAGCGACGGTTCCTGTAGCAGTAAATTAGTGGATTCACTATAGAGTTCATTTGCAATATTGTCTCTGCTGATCGGAAGACGGAACTCTTGCGAAAACCAGGGTACAAATCTCCCAACAATTTAACAGTTACCGTGGGAACAAACGAAAGAATCACAGCTGCTGAAGTCAATGCGCATGTCATAGCAACTCTGTTTTCGAGTTTTGTTTTCACCAGAACGGTGACTTTGGTAATCAGTTTACGTTTGCGCGTTTCACGATACACCATGATGTAAAAATAAGCGATTAGAATCAACGCGAAAAATTCAACGATATAACAAATTACATCGTAGTAAATGCCCGGGGCTTTTAGTACAATGCTTGGAATTGGTGCTAACGCAGCTAAGAACCAAGCTGTTATGGCGAGTTTCTTCAGGCGGCTTCTTGTCATTTTCACTTTGTGTTCATAACAATTCCGTATTGCCTGGTACCTCTCCCAAGCGATAAGGATCAAATGATATAGGGTACACGCCGCTAAAGCGTACATCAAGTAGACATTAATCAAGTCTACCAAGCAAATATGATCGTTAAAAACTTGCCGGGAAATAACAAAGTCAACAGTGGCGGATAAAGGCATATTTATCGCACCTACCAAAATATCCGCAACAGCTATGCTCGACAACAAAATGTTTGGATTTTTTTGCAGTTCCTTTCTTGATCTCACCGCTGCGATAACCAAAATGTTCAAAATGACTGCAGCGGGAGCTGCTATAGATACGATTGCAACCATTATCCAGGGGAAAACTTTGTCAGCTAGGTCCCACACAAAACTTGGATACTGTGGGCAAGAAAAAGCTAACCTGCTCTCGGACGAAAAGTTCATAGTTGCTTGTGTCTGCATGAACTCCCTGATAAAGTGACTCTCACTGTTTGAGTTGGTAGACGATTTATCCATCTTAATTCCAATTATCCTTGATCGCCAACGATATAATGGGTGCTAATTAATCAAGAGTCCCGGAAAGTAAACAATAAGTTAGATATTGTTTTAAACTAAACTGACTTTTGCAGGCCGTGGTACGATTAGTTTTCACAGGATGGAAAAGAAAACGAAAACAAGAAGGCGGAAAACAGATTTATCAAGGACAAAAACGAACCATATGTTGAATCTCATTTCTTTCGCAAAGCCAGGAAGTCTCATTAGTTTTCCGCTCGTTTGCAGGGAATCGGTTGAGGGAGGTGGGGCTGGGGGCTTTTGCGACCCCCGTGCTTTTTTAAAGGGGTCTTTAAGAACGACTTTCCAACCTGTAGAGTATCAACATGATTTTAAGGAACGAGGCTGGCACAGTGCTGAGAGCACTCGCCTCCCACCATTGTGGCCCTGGTTCAAATCCTGGCATCGATGCCATATGTGAGTTGAGGTTGTTGTTGGTTCTCTTCCTTGCTTCGAGAGGTTTTTCTCCCGGTACCCTGGTTTACCCCTCTCCTTAAAAACCAACACGTCCAAATTTCAATTCGATCTGGAACGCACGGACATGTTTTAGAGTTCTTAAGAATTCCTTAGTGCTCCGTGGGCAAACAAATTACAAATTACAGGAGCGCCAAAGTTCTGATTTTAAAAGGTGTGTAAAATACTGTTAAAAGGACAATATTTTACATACATATGTACCCACTTTAGGAGAGGCAAATCTCAAAGTTTACAGGATGAACATGCCCCCGTCCCCCGTAGTATGTACTCGGGTTTATGATCTCGGGGGTCCCCCGGAGAATGTTCACACTTGCGTCTTCGGGTCAGTCTCCCCCATCACCAAAAATAACATTTACCACGGACTTACGAAAAAAACCTTAAACCTCAATTTGCTTTACTTCACTGTACAACTAATGAAAAACAAGTTCCCCGAAGGGCGAATGATCTCATTGAAATAAATCTAAAAAAGCTTAAAGGTTATGTTAAGGCTCATTTACGGCAGGATAGGCTCGGGTGCGGAAACAATGAGGAGTTCCTGAAGAAATCTGTTTGTTTATACGTTTAAGTTTAATAAGACACTCGAAGAAAAAAGGAGCATTTACATACGCTGAATATTACTTAATTAATGTCGATAGTGCAAAACCAGCCATCAAGATCATAAACTGCGAATACAGCTGTCTCTCCTCGCTCCTCGTTGCTAGGGACGTCCCTAGCAACGAGGAGCGAGGAGCGAGGAGCGAGGAGAGAAAGCTGTATTCGCAGGCTACCAAGATCGGAGAGGAAACTTAAACTCCGCGTTTTTTCTCTTAATTTACGAGGTGAATGAGAAGTTATCTTTCATTGTTTTTTCTTTCGCGTAAGAGAACTTTTTGAGAAACCACCATCTAAACCAATGCGAACTAAAATGGAAGAACAGAAGAAATGAATTAAAACCTACGTGTTTTGTTAATATTTGTCAAAAGTCTAACTGAATTCAGAAATTGCTGGTGCTTAGCTTCCTATGTGTTTCAAAGTGTTTGTACGGTAAATCACGCGTAAATCGATGGGATTCCCTCAAAAAAATATGTTGTGGTTTATTTAATCCTTGGCTCAAGTCATATGTTTTTTTTTTTCGGTACAATGATGTATGATAAAGAGTGTGAAGCAGATGAAAATAAAATTTGAATCAAGAATGAAATTAAACCTCAACAGATACGCAATCACACAAGTCATACAGCGTTGTCAGTCATACCAAAATGAAAACGCGAAACAAAGAAAAAGAAAAGAAAGAAATACTTCTTTTCAAATTTTACAATGAATTCCATATGAACCTGCGAGCTCACTGTGTGTAGTGGAACTTGTCACTGGCAGTGGCGAATCCAGACCTTCAGATAATGGGGGGGGGGGGGGGGGAGTCTGAGGAGGTGGAGTGAGGTAACGGGTTGGTTAGGGATCTGTGAGGATAAGAATGTGGTAGAACGAGCGGCGAAGCGGGAGGGGGTGGGGGCGTGTCTTTGAAAGGTGTTCAATCCTAAAATGGGACCCGATGATAGAAAGGAAGGTCCCTTCTCTACATAAAATTTTTACCCCCTGCGGGACATCGTTTTGGGATAAAAATACCGGGGGGGGGGGGCCTTCCCTCGATCCGCCATAGACTGAGATAGAAACTCACTTTTGTGTTATTGAACGCCCGGCCGCGTACTGTTCCTTTATCAAATCTTCTTGAGGGTCAGACAGATTAGAAGAATTATTTTTAGCTTCCTAACTTTTTTCAGTTGATTCTTTAACCGATGATGGTTAAAACCTTGGAAAAGTGTCATTTCCTTTGGACCTTTGTGGGTGAGATTGACACAATTGTTAAAATGGACGGGGGTGTTGTTCAGCTGCTGGGGACTGGGGTCCAAAGAGTTGCTGTGTAATCTGGTTAGTGAAGGAGCTGACACAGGTTTTGTCCTCATGGCGCCATTTAATATCTTAACGTTGACTAATTCGTATGACGCTGATCTTCACAAAAGGCGACGACTGTGTGCATTTGGTCGTTCTAGAGTACCCTCCACTGAGAAACGAGTTGTTCTGACATATTGGACCATGGGAACCACTGTTGGCTTCTCAGGAAGTTATCTGATGTATAAAATCTCGAGTACAATGTTTCTAAAGCGACGATTTCTGTGGCAGTAAATAAGTGGATTCACTATAGAGTTCAGTTACAAAAGTGTCTCTGCTGACCGAAAGACCGAACTCTTGCGAAAAAACGTATAAAATACTTGTGCGGTCTTCTCTAAACTTAACAAATATTACGTAACACAACTAGAATCTACGAAACGTAAACAGATGTTCAGCTCCATAACATAAGTATTGCGGAGGCGGGGCGAAAACAAAGAGGATACCAAATTTTATGTCCAAATCTTTACAATTTGAAAGGGTCGAATAGATCTTATATTTTGTCTCTCCAATGTAGAACAACTGAGGGGATTTTTAAAACCCTTTGTCTCAGGGGGGGACACTCCCTATAATGACCTATACGGAGATGCCCCGCCCAAAAATTAAAGGGGTACCGATTTTAGGCCCCAGCTATATGAAAGGGAAGGGATTTCACTTGTTGAACTAAATGAAAGTGTAGGGAAATCTGTCATTTGGTTCGGTAAAAAGGCCCAAAACGACTAACAGATGCATCCGTTTTATGACTGTGAGAAAAGTCGAGAAAACGTTCCTGTTTTTGAGATTTATTTGGACAGAGCATTTATAGCAGTTTAAAGGGATGGAAAGTTCTAAACGGGTACGGGGTCGGACCTCGGGGCGGAGCCTCCCTGTATAAAACTTTTTGAGTATCCCCGGGTCCTTTGTCTTGTTGGAAATCAAGGAAGCAACTCTTTGACCGTTGACTCAAAAGGTGATTACCCCACAGTTTACCCGAACCGTCAGTCACTGTCAAGAATAATAGACTTATTTAGTACTTCATTCACCCGTAGGATCATATTCCACCTACTTATGACATGATTCTCCAAGGCTCAAAAAGGTCATCTACTTTAATGAACTTTATTTTGAAAGAAAGTGTATACTCCTTTGAGTACCGTCACATGACATCCAGTGGGCACAAAATGCACAAGGAAAATAAGCCTAACCTGGTCTATTGTAACGACAACAACATATTTCTATAGCAACCTCATAATTAATACAACATTAGAAAACAAAATGACTGGTGTAAGAAACCTTCCTAGTAGATTCATTGCATTAATTTTTTTGTCAAGGTTAGATTGGGCTTAGCTACTTTACAACAAACAAGGCAAAATCCGCCCCGTCAATGTCTTTTTTTGTTTTTCATTAAAAGGTTAATTTATCATTGCACAAACTTTGGACCTAACTCTCTCTTCATTTACAATATTAAATTTAATACTACGTTCTGAAGTTCACTTTATGGATCCAGTCTATAAATCTACTCTTTTACAAAAGTGGAATTAATTTTCCACTTACGAACGTCCTTAGCCAGTCCCACTTCGCTTGTGGATAGAGTACGAAACTTATCACTAGTAAAATTCAAACACTTCGTAATCATCGACGGTAAAATCTTTAGTACCCGTGAAGAACAAATCTCCTTGTTTTCCTCCAGGACACGAAAACTTTTCTCGTAGACGACTATAACTTGTTCGAGATGACTGTGCATTATTTGAAATGTGCAGGTATTTTTCTGACCAATAGTCTTGTCCAAACGATGGCCCAAGCGACTTTTTACAGGCAATAACACAACCGCTCTCCTTCTCGTCTGCCGGTATTCGAACAGGCTCCGTCCCAAATGGATTGACCAAACTGAACAAGAATGCCTGTTTGGATTCAACAACTTCCATACGCACACCTTGAGGAGAAAATTAAATATTTTTTACAAACTTTTAACTGACCCTGTTGTCACTATATTTGGCCGAATACATGCAGCAAACTTGAACGTTCATTCCTATCCGGTCCCAATTAACGGGGGTTGAAGAATTTATCTTTATGATTATAGTTCCCGTTATCCCTAAATCCACCATTTTTTGTTTATTTGTTTATTTTTTCCTCCATTTATTTATTTCCCAAGCCAATTATATTGTATTACAAGACTGAAGAATTAAAGATGCTATTTGTAGAATTAAATATCCGGTTACAAGAATAAATGGAGAGGGTAAGATATAGTTAAACTAACTACTTGCCCTTTGATTAAATTACAGTTTTACTTAGGTTAAAAGAGAAAAAACCATTTTTGGCTATCCCTAGGATTTATTTTAAAATCATCTATCTTAAAAATATTTTGGCTAGTTATACCTTCCTCCCGCTAAAATCCCAAACAGGGCCTCTATAAAAACCTGGTGACTGTACACTAATTCAGACGAGTACTGATCTGCTGATGTGACTCAGGTTATATTTAAAACTGACCCTCAATCCACCCTCTCGTCATGTCGCGTATAAATTTGGTCTTGAAACACGACCTTAGAACGGTACTAACCGAAAGTCTACCCGAGTGAATAATGAATTCACAAAATCACTTTTCACTAGTACGTGCAGCGTTATCCCCACGTATAACGTATAAGTATCCATAAGTGTGTGGTAATTTATCAACATTAAATTTTCACTGTCAGCTTGGGTTAACTTCGATTATAAAGGAAATCGATTCTTGGTTCATTGAAGTGGACTGCGGTAAGAGTTAATACGGCCACTTTAAAACTCGACCCTGCTAGACCTCGACTGACAATTACAGTTATTGTACTATTCAAGAAGACAACGTAATTTTACTTACGCGGACTCCTCCATGCTGCTTCAGTAAATCCGCCAAATACGAAGTTTCCAGTTTTCACAACCGTTACTGTTGGACCTTTGTAGTCGCATTTTAAGTGGAACGATTCTGCCTCGAAGCCGTCTCGAGAAGCTCTGTACAGAAGTCGCCAGTCGCCAGTTTTATAAGGTAGCATACCTGATAAGATCATGTCAAGTTCTCGAGTCAGAATCTTAGAATCTGAAAACAACCTTGTGGCTAGTGCTGTGGCTCCTTGGATCGAACTCTTCTAACTCTGCGCGGATCTGGGTTTACTTAACTCGTCGATAATTCCTTGTATCTGGTAATAAGTGGCTTCTGTCTCGATTTCCTCCAGATCAGTGCACGTGGCTTCTTCTGGTAAAGATAACTTCCCATCACGCAGGTAGTTAAGTATATGGCGGAAGTGTTTTCCATCTCGATCGATTTCAATCGTCTGAATCGCACCATCTTCAGAACGCTTTAATGAAAACCTTCCGGAAAACATAGCAGCAAAGTACGAGTTTGGGTCCTTTGTCAGCGTTTGGCGAGTTGTGGTAAAATGCTGGCCACCGATGTTGAGGTTGACCGTCTCAGAAATCTGCGTACTTTCTATTTTCTTCGACATACGATCGAATGTTTCCCGCTCGTTACGAAGCTTGTCTGCTTCTTGTTGCAGTTGCTTACAAGCCTCACTAATTGCAGCTGTAGCTGCGTTGATTTGTCTTTCGACGTTAGCAAGGATTTGCGCCTGAGACAATGCCTCTTCGTCCTGACTTCTGTCATTCATTTTAAAAATGACCTGCCTCGGAAAGAGCTCGATCAACTTCGAATCAGTTCTGGCGGCAGAGAACACTTCTTTGTTTTACGAAAAGTTAGGGGTGTGATTATTACTTGAATCTTGAATGCCGTATTAAATTACGTGGCCAAGCCTCTTAGTTATCGGAAATGTTTCAAATTGGTCCAAAAACGGAAAATAGAATGAGGAAGTGTTGCCAGGTAACACGATAGTTCTGGATTAATCGTGGCTAAAATAAACAGAATTATAATTACGACTAGGGACACATGCAAGTATAACTGATTCTTTCTGTTTACAAAAAGATAGAAAGATCCTAACATCAGGAAGGTCACGACTGTTCCTTTTGTTTACATGCAAGCCATTTCGGTAAGCCTTTCAAAGAACCAAGCTGATGTTACGAGTTACAAGGAAGAACTTGTTAAACTAAGTAAACTGTGAGAGATTAGGCACTTTTTACGAAAAACCAGAGACGGCGGAGCGGAGGAGGACTGCCCCCTCCTTTTTCCGGAAAAAGAAAGACTTATTGGATCAATTTAGGTTTCTGGAAAAATTTCCCCAACTACCCCTCCCCTAAGCTAACATTAGCACTTACTTCTCACTTACGGCAAAATGATGGCTTAGGGGAGGGGCAGGTGGGCAGTTTCCCGGAAACCTAAATTGCTGCGACTTATTAAAAGGAGCGTCTCCTTAACCTCCTCACTTCACCCTTCAAGTAATAATAATATTTGATATATAGGAGAATCATAGCTTATTCATCTATTTACAATTGCTCATATTTTTTTCTGTAAAAACAGCTTTTATTATTTTTAGATAACATCAAACGATCGTGCTAAGACTACAGCTGATTCAACCTCTAAATATGGAATTGGACTTGATCTTAACATCTAATTGTTTTTTCAAAGATCCGATCACACAATCGTTTAATCAAAAATATGCATAATTAGCCTCCTAACGTCCAAAGTGGTAAACGCATTCATCGTTCATCAGAGACAAATGAAGGAAAAAGAACGATACAGATGACCAAGACAAACGGCAGATATCAAAGAAACAAAGCTGCAGGCAACGAGAAAGAAAAAGAAAAAGTGAAAAGATATTTTGTTAGTTTCTCCTGGCCTTAAGCTTCCCGGCGTTTCTAGAAGGCTTTTTGTACTTTCTGCACAGGAACTCCGCGCATTTACGGTATGACTAACTTAACACAAAGGAGACCTCTGTGGAAAAGGGCGCTTCTGATAGAACAGAGTCTGATCGTGCTTGGCACTCTGAGGCCTTAAACTGCTGCTTTTTAAAAAATAAAAAATGGAACCCAATCTTTCGCCGATCAACGGCATCATCGGGGATGAGAAAATATTCCGCGTGAAGCTATATTTGTAAATACAAGTGTAATGTGTAAACGTGCAAGGTATAGAGATAAAACTTGAATAAAATACACCGGTCTAATGACCGGAATGTCTCTGGACAAAGGGTTCCTCAAAACGTATAAAAATAGTATTTAAAACACTAAACGCTATTTTCTTATCCCTGATGATGCCGTTGATCGGCGAAAGCTTGGTTTCTTTTTTAATTTTTTAAAAAACGAAAGAATTGTGAATCTCTGATTAGACACGTACTATTCGAAATTATGTAGGGGTGGTGGTGGAATCATTTGAATCTTGAGATGATTTTTGTCATTTTTTTTTCACAATGCTTCTTGATCAGTGGAAAAATTTCTACAAAAATTATGATTCGTATTTCAATTAGCTTCAATTGTGTCATCGATCCCAGACTGTTTTAATACATAGACTGTGAACACTTTCAAACATCCATTCATGAACTTCACAATAGGTGATTTAAAAAGTGTTCTAAATGCCTTAATAGTTGTCTATTAGTGGGTACTTAAATATGGAAGATAATCACTTTCTAGAAACTCGAGCACAATCGACGCAAATTTTTCCCTGACAAAAGCGACAAAAATTGGCTTGTCGGATTACTTTTAAGTAAAAAGAAAATTACTTTTTAGTGAATTTGCACCATATTAGGGACCGGTCATTATTTATCGCCTGGGGGGGGGTCGGAGGATTTTGGGCTAAACACGATGAAATTTAGCCGATCCCCCCTTTAAATGTTATTTTATTGAAGTGATCCCCCCTCATAACTATATATAAATTTCGTGATCCCCCCCCCCC